GGGAAGGTGCTTGTCGTGGTGGTTCTGTTGGTAGTGGTGTGGAGGAAAGTTGCTGGTCTTGCTGACGTTGCATGTCCTTGAGTTCTTGCCATTGGGCTTGACATTGCTCGACGGAGAAGCCCACTCGGCGAGCAACAGAAACCCAGTTGGGACGGAGTCGGGGGTTCCCTTTGAGTTCAACCAGGCGGCAATCAGCGTCACCGTCCCATGCGTCCCAGTCTGCTTGCTGGTTCAGTGGTGGTGGCAGTGGTTGCTTTCGCTTGCGTGTTGTAGCAGGTTGTGGGGCTGGGGCTGTTGATGGTGTGTCGTCGGAGTCTTTTGAGAGTGGTGCTGGTAAACGGATGGGTGGCCGAGATGGTGCTGAGTCACAGGAGGAGGTGGTGGAGGGTAAACGTATAGGGTGAGTTGGCGGAGTTGGTAGTGGCTGAAAATGTTGGCGGAAAGTGGGATCCGCTTGGTGGATGTGGTGGAGAAAGTGAGTGTGAAGGTGTGCTACAATATCTGTTGCTTGCCTGAGCAGGTTTTGGACCTGCGAAAGTACCACAGCGGTTTGATGTAGGAGAGTTTGGGTGTCATTGTGTGGAGGTGTCAGTGTGCTGCTCATGACTTGGAGATAGAGGGATGTACAGTCACACAGAGTCGTCACAGGTTGCTGCGGCAGCGCGCCAGGGCAGCAGGACGGCAGCTGATCTGCGGGAGCACGTCATCACGGGGCCGTGCATATGAATTAAACGAGCATCAAATTCCCGCGGGCATGGTGCGAAAAATGCAAGTCCGACTGAAAGATCAAGTGCAGAAAACTCCAACATGTGAAGAAAACTTCATCTAAACAGCTGGTGAGATTCGGAATGAGATTTTGCAGAACGAAACCTGCAAAGCTTGAAAAATTAAAAGCTCAAAATTCGCGTGGCCGCTGCAAGAGGCTTTTTGCTGCTATAGGCCAAGGTTGTGTGGTGGTGTGAGACAAGAGGTGGAGGTAGAGGTGGTAGTAGTGTGGAGGTGTTGGACAGTGGTGTTACATGTCAGGTGGAGTGGAGTTTGTGGACCAGGCCAGTCCTTTGACGATGGCATGGTCCGGGTGGATCACCCAGCAGCGGCCCTTCTGGTGGAAGACGGCGCCGTGGTAATCGTTGAGGAGGTTCATGGCATGTTCTTCCCCTCCGGAGGTGTATTTTGTGGCGGCACCCCAAGCAAGGAGTGTGATGATGAGGGAGTGGGAGTTCTTGTGGAGTTGCCAGGTGTTGTGGATGATGCGAGCAAATTCGCTCTGATCATGGGGTTGATTGTGGGTGATGCGGACACCCTGGGCAAAGAAGCCAGGGTAGTTGGCAAAGTGAAGTGTGCTGGGTAAAAATCAACCTTGGCGTAGAATGTTGGCAATGTTGCCGACCGGGCCTGTGTGGCCGGCGTTGATGTGGGCGACTTCCCGGTGGGTTGATGTGGCTCGGGAAACCGCGGGTGGTTCCGGTGTGGTGGCCTTTGTGTTGAGGAAAGGAAGTGAGATGGCGTAGTATTGGAATTGGTCATATTGGCGAGTGGTGTCGTTCCACCTGGCGTGAGTATATTGCCGGAAATCGGTGATCTCCTTGTAGGTGATGTTGCAGTCTGTGAGGAGATTGGCAATGTACTGGTGCTGTGGTCGGTTGGGGTTGTCGAGTTGGTTGGCGTGGAATTCAAGCCATTCCAGGAGTTGGTCTGCAGGTGAAAAAGTGTGAAAGTTGGGTGGAGGTCGCCAACGGTTGATTGGGCGACGAAGGACGGCTGTGGTGGGATATTGAGAGGGGTCGGGGTTGGTGTGTTCAGTGTTGGGGCGTAAGTCGATGGGTTGTGGTGGTGAGCGGCTGCGGGATGGTGTAAGGCTGGATGTGTAAGTGGATGTCGAGGGTGAACGGCGTCGCCGGGTTGCGCTGTGGTGCTTTGAGTGGTGGTGATGTCGATGCTGGCGGCGGTGGTGGTGGCGTCTTCGGTGGTGATGATCGGACTTGCGTCGGCTCTTGTGGTGGTGGCGGCGACTGCTGTGTGGTGGCTGTGGGGAAGGTGGTTGTGGTGCCGGTGAGGCGGTGGTGTCGGGCTTGTCTGTTGCAGGTAGTGAAGGTCCAGGAGCTGGTGGTGCTGATGCAATGGATGGTGATGCGGAAGGTTGGGAGCCAGTGGCTGGAGGGGTCATGTTTTGGACCGGCAATGAAGGGTCCGTGGCTGTTGTAGTGATGTGTTGGACTAGTGGTGTAGGGTCCGATGGTGCCTGTTGTGGGAGTGGGGGCTGAACTGGTGGTGGGGCGCCGATGGCTTGGGGGGGGGGCGGTGGAGGCAACGGTTGGGGTGGAGGCTGTGTAACTGGGGGAAAGACTGAGTAAGGTTGCCAAACTCCTTGAGGGATGGCGCATTGTGGGTCTGTGGATGGATGATGGGCAACTGTTGCTTGTTGTGGTGTTGGAAGGGGTTGTGCCTGTGTAGTGGGGGTAGGTTCAGCAGGTGGTGTAGGATGTAGTTGTGGCAAAATGTATGAAGGGGAAGGTGCTGCGGACTGAAACACTGGAGTTGGGTGTGTGGGTTGCGGTGGCATGTGAGATGGTTGCACAAACGTCCAGGTGGACGGAGTGCCGTAGGTTAGTGCAGTGGCGGTTGGACTGGGCAAAATAGGTGGTGTTTGAAATGGTTGTGGTTGTGGGTGAGGGTATGCCGATGGTTGTGGCGAGGGAAAGGTGGGTGCAGTTGGCGGCTGTGGCAGCGGCCATGTGGGTTGAGGTTGTGTGGTAGGTAATGGTGGTGGTGTGGCGTGAGCGTATGGCCACGGAAAATGCATATCGTAGTCGTAGCTATGGCACGGCGCGGCGCAGCAGCAAGGATGCAGCGGAAAAGTGCCGAGTGGTATTGTCATAATGTTGTTGAAAATCTCATCGCTCGTGTTGACGGGGAGTATGTTGTGAAGTGGTGCTGGATGTGAGCTTGTTGTCAAGTGTGTTCATGCATCTCGAATTAGATTGGAGAACTCTAATGCACAAGCTTGAGTTCTGCTGATGAAAAGGTCACGGCATTAATATGGCAAAACGTGGAGAAACAAGCATGACGTGGAGAGATAAACGTGATAGATCCGAAATCTGAAATCTGATGTATTCGACAGGAACCGTTTTTGGGCCCGGCGGCCAGTGTGTCGGTTGATTCGGTGAGGGTGTCGGTGACTTCCTGTGAGAGTCCGATGAGTGGTGGTGCTTTGTGGTTGTTGCTTTCCCATGTAAGAACGGCGCCCCTGTGACGGGGATCACACTCAGCACCCGAGTGGGACGGCTGAGCGAAACACACTCTGACACTTGTATTCAGTTAACTCAGTTCCCACGCTGGGAAGGAAGGTGACAGAACTGCATGGTGAAGAGTCCGAAAGACTTGTAGGTGTTTCAACAAGTTGTTGGTCAAGTCTGCTGAAAGATCGGTCGGCGCGGCTCAGCTGCAAGACAAACGCGGCAAAAGGAAGGTTTTGGGGAAGTATCATGGAACCACCATGACAGCAAACCAAAGGAAGAGTGGAGTCACAGCTTGGTAGAACGGCAGGTACACAGAGCTGATCAGGCTCTGCTTCCAGCACAAGTGGGTAGCTTCGTTGGGTGCAGTCTCCACTGTGCTCTGCACCCCCCTGCCTGTGAGAAGTGGTGGTGGAAAACCCTTTGTCCAGGGGTGGACACACACACACACGCACATATACCCACCCAACCAGATGAAAATCCATTCTGAACCCATCGACCGTAGGCGTTGTGCTATCGATGTTGAAGTCGCTTCTTACTTGTTAAGGGGACGAAGCTCAGCTAAGGTTCATGGCCTCGCAAGCCCTCTTTTGCGCCTTGGAACTGGGGATTTTCGATCACTTGGCCAGCGCAGGGAAGATGAAGGTCGGAGAGCGAGCTAAGCTTGAATCGGTGAGCGAAAAGCTGGGGGTTGTGGTCGGGTGGTCTTGGGCGCCATTTTGGGAGCATCTATTCAATGAAACTGGGCTGCGGGACAAAGAAGTACTGTAGAGTTTCGACAATTTCGACTGGTGAGATCAGTGGAGGTTTGATCACTGAAAAGTCCTACAGGGTGTTCAGATGCTGTCAAATCAGCACTAGATTCATTGTTAGAGGATGTTGGACGTGAGTCTAATTTGTAGTCTAATTGGCACTAAACGTCCAAGTACATATCCTTTTGGGGACTTGGAGCTCAGGAGGCAGTGGGCAAGTCAGTAGAAAAGAGAATACGTAGTGGACCTGCATTTGGGTAATTAGAAACTATCAATTGAGGGATTTAGAAACCAAGGGACTCTGTCTTGCAAGCAGCTTATGTCTTTCACGTATTTTTTCGATCCTGGGACTCAGCTGCCTACAAGGTTCTTATTTGAGTCATCCCCAGAAACCGCTATTCGTGTTTCAACTGGAATACCAAACACGTCATCTCCAACCTGCCAAGATCCACGAAAAGCGAGACCCAAGGACAAGACTCGTGCGCCCACGACCAGTCACCTGATCCCATCCCGTGCGCTCACGACCCATCCGTCGACGACCCGTGTCCGCCAGGTGGAAGACTTGTCAAAGGTCTTGAAGATCCCCCCCCACGCGGCTGCAGACCCTCTTGACGGCGCTGACGGCGGCCAAGTGCCTGCGACTGACCTCGGGGAGCTATTCCAACTCACCGAAGCTGGGACAGGACCGGTGGGTTTCCAGCGAGAGTTGGAGGCAGGTCTGACCGTCATGGTGATGTCCGCGTGTGTTTTTTCTTTCGGGCGACACTCATTGTCCAATGTCCCTCTAGTTTCAACACCTCAAGTTTGGCGTCCACATGTTTTAAGGAGGAAGACTGCGATCTTGGCACAAACTCCACGACACACCGGGAGGGCCATGTCTTGTTCCAGAGGAGGACATGGCATGGAGTCCAAAGGAGCCAATACATAAATAACATCGATATGTGATAAACATGTAACATGTATCTCAAGGTAAACCTGTCCTGCCGCGCTGCCCAGGAACGTCAGCAAGTTCATGGTGTCCTCGTCCAAGGCTTTCTACGGAGACCCGGCTGTGCAGGAAAGGAAGGTGTCGGGGAAACAATTGGAAAACAACGCATGTGTGTATTATACCTGTACTTAAGAGGTCCCTAGTCTTAATAAAATCTTTCATTGGAGAGCCTGGTTTCATGTTTTGTTGTTTTAAAGGCAACAAAAAAGGCAACTTAGTAGTTAGTCCCAAAAGTCAAAGTCAAACACAAATCAAATCAGAAAGTCAAAAAAATCAATTGGCCCAGATCCGACCTTTTTTATTCCTGACGCTTCGCGTCGACCGCCGCCCCACCTTCTTTTTTTTCGGTCGTCTGGGGAAAGACTGCTGGAGTGGACAGGGGAGGTCGGGAGTGGTGTCCAAAGAGATGGCTTGTTTGCCGCAGCGTCTATGGCCATGTTGCGGCTGAGTTACGCACAAGTTCGCTCGTTTGGTGGCCATGTTAAAGCCAATTCAGGCTCCAAGTTCGATCGTTTTGTGGGCTTGCCCCCGCTTGGTTAGTCCACATTACATCATGTCAAGGCTAGTCCACATTATATCATGTCAAGGCTAGCTTGATCGTTTGGTGACCCTGTGTTGAGGCTACGTTGGGCTTTTTGCAATAATGCTGGTAATGCGTTGCTGGTCAGGAGGGTTTTTCATGGTTTTTCAGCATCGCGGGTGTCCGTTTTTTGGCTTGTTTGGGCTCTTGCAGAAATAGTCCAAAAATGTACCTCCAATAATGCTGGTTATGCGTTGCTGGTCAGAAGGGTTTTTCAGCATCGTGGGTGTCCGTTTTTTGGCTTGTTTGGGTTCTTGCAGAAATAGTCCAAAAATGTACCTCAAAAACGCTCTCCCCCATGGCCCTCGAGGCGTAAGACGTTTTTCCCGAAACAAAAAAAGGCGCCTACCCCCCTAGCAGAGCTATGAACTGATTACGATGTGACGATTGACTGACGATGATTCCAGCTTGACCCGCCCCTAACACGCCCTGCACCGCAAGCGGTGTGGGCGGATTTTTGTGTTCATATTCTTTTTTGGACGCTTTTATTGACATTTTGTTTCTGAATTTTATTTGACTGTTATTTGACTTTTTCGAGTTGTTTCCTAATGTTGACTTTTTTGATCTTTTTTGACTTTTTCGAGTTGGTTGATACTTTTGATATATATTTTTAGACTTTTTGCATTTTTTTGTTTACTTTGTTTTTTGTTTGTTCGATTTGTTTTGACTTTTATTTGACTTTTATTGACTGTTTTTGACAGGTTCGAGTTGTGATCTATGTGTTTTTTCGACTTTTTTTTACTTTTCCATTTGCCGTTGTTTTTCCGATTTTGTTTAAATCAAGGATTTTGGCCTTACCATATGAAAGATTCTTTTAACCCTAGTCAGCGGAAAAATCCACTATTACCGGGTGAGCGGATTTCAGCAGGATTCATCGTGGAGGCGACTTCGATTGATTGGATGTCCATGAAAATTTCGCGAGAAATGGCCAAAGAACGGAGGGAATTGCGTTGAATCTTTCGTTTGGAACTTCATGCTCCCAAAACCAGAGAGTTCCTTGCATAGCGAACCAGATCGAAATTGAACCCCTGAAAAGTAGTTGGTTAGGGCACAATCCCCGAAAGGTGGTTTACATAGACCCCATCTAAAAGACATGGGCTTGTGCCATCTACTCTGAAACGATTGTATTGTTCCATGATGTTCCAGCAATGTGTTCCGGTGGACCAACGAGGCGATTATTTGAAGTATCAGATCGGCCGGCTCTTCTATGCACGGATGGGGCAGCTGTTGCCTGTCCTGAAGGGCGAAGAGACTCTCAACTACTCTGGTTGGTTCTCAGACCCTGAGGCCCGAAGCGGGCCCCTGCGGGAGGGCATGGAGGCTTCCCAGGGTCACCATGAAGCGAAGTGCCTGGGAGCAATCTGAAGACCAAGTCCCAGGTGGTGCTCTTCCACATGTTGCATGGAGTTTTTCAGGGGGTTTTTCATGACGCGTTCTTCAGCCGTACTTGTTGCATGACGAAGACGACGCCTCGAATACACCCCTATACCTCTTCTTTCCACTGCGACCGTCCCGGTCCGTCGAGTTATACCAGGTGGCCGCAAGTTATACCATGGCCCAGCACAATGGCAGCTTGGCGACGGCCAAAGCGCTCTTCCGACGGGTGAGCCTGGACCACGTGCAGCGGATGTTGGAACCTCGGACGGGAACGAGAGGTTGGTTTCGTGGACAGCGGATGAAGGAACGACCCCCGGCATTCATGTAGAATCATGATAAACAACAATTTCAGGGTTTACAATCCAGATAGGGGTTTTACATGGTTTTACTAAATGAATCAAGATTCTAAAACGCACATATAAGCTTACTCTAGGATATCCCAAGATTCGCTCAGCTTCATCCGTGGGTTCTCCCACCAAGTGGACGTCCACCTGGTGAGGTGCTCAGCCGTTGGAGCGATGAACTGGTGGACCTTACGGCTGACCATCCTGATGCAGAAGGGATGAACTGGTGAACTGAGGATGTATATGGGTGGCTATGCCGAAGATGCTAGAGGTGTATGGATGGAGCCAACAGCTTAAGGTCACTGGGGCACAAAGGGTCAAAGCACAATGCTTCACCTGCAATCCCTGCGGCAGTAGAAGCATAGTTGTTCGCCGTGCACAGGATCGTCCTGCAGCGATGTGACCTGTACTCCACTCGAATCCGGTGGGGCCCACCGGTCAAAAGCATTAATGAAGTAAAAAGATGACGTCCCAATAGCAAACACAATAGGGAATAACATCAAGAAGCTATAGTAGGTTGGAGACCATCGCTACTAGGGTGGCCTCTCCATCGCTACTAGTAGCAAGAAGCTACTATAGTAACGGGTCTTGCTTTTTTCCTTTCACCTTCATCCTCAGGGCCCACCGGACACGACGGACACACCCAGGACGTGGGCGGTGGCAGCGGCGCCTTCTCCGTCACCGCGGTGCAGCGGGTCCCGAGCCTTGGGCGAGCATGGTCCGTCTGTGCTCGAAGTGCATGGGTTGCATCGTGTTTTTCCACATGAAACGCCCCATGAGAGCATCTACGAATCATTCTAATTCTCTGATTTAGGTATATGATTGAACTTCAATGAATCAATCTGCCCCATTTGCATATTGTCTCATCCTCAGGAGCTTATTTGCCACAGTCCTGGAGCTCCCGGCCGTCTGCGCCGAGGGCCGCCGTTTGACCGCGGCCGCGGGACCTGCGGCGGCGCGCGTGGAGTTCCGCGCGCTGGATGCGACGGAGCCCACGCGGTGGCCGGTGGAGGAGGCCTCGCAGGATTTGGCGCCTGGGACCGAAGGAACAAGGGTACAGGGCCAGGGGGGCCCAGGGCATGGCCGTTGAACATGGTTGGAAGGGTCAAGCCACAGAGGAAGGTTTTGTTTTATTTTTGACCTCCCGCTGAACAGTTGCAGTTGAAGATGTTGAAGTGCTTGGACCCCCAAACAGTGCAAAGCCTCGAGAATTATGGGAGATTTATACGGGGGGCCAGGTGCTTATTTCCATTTCTCGGCGCGCAAATAATACTCACACCCTTTCGGCCCCCGCCAAATGAAATGTTCGACTTCCCCCTGCCCGACGACACCGGCGAGTCGGAGGAGCAGGCCAGGGTTGCGGGCTTGATGCGTGGACGCCCTTGCTGCGCAGGCACCGGCGGAACCGGAGGACGATGGGGAGGAAGAGGGGGATTGGCCTGCGCAGCCCTCAAATCGCTTTGTCTTTGATCTTTTGGCCACTGTTGGCGGGGCGAGCGCTCGGATTTCCGCAACGAGGTGGACGAGCTGGACGTTCTCTCCACGACTTGCCCATCGGAGTCGGAGGCCAGGCACGCAGATGATGTCAATAGAACGCTTGCTCAGTTCACGCGCAACGTTTTATCAGGCGCCCTCCAACGGCGACTGATTCTTCACCAGCGCCACTGTAGAAAAAGGGACCCCGCATGTTAACAACTTCACCACGAGACACAGGAGCGGTTGGTGGTTGGTGGTTGAAGTTGGTGGTTGGTAGTGGTTGGTTGGTGGCTGGTGGTTGGTGGTGGTTGGTGGTGGTTGGTGGTTGGTGGTGGTTGGTCGGTCGGTCGGTGGGTGGGTTGGTTGGTTGGTTGGGTGGTTGGTGGGTCGTGGTTCATGGTGGTTGGTGGTTGGTTGGTTGGTGGTTGGTGGTTGGTGGCGGCTGGTTGGTTGGTGGTTGGTTGGTGGTTGGTGGTGGTTGGTTGGTTGTTGGTTGGTGGTTGGTGGTTGGTGGTGGTTGGTTGGTGGTTGGTGGTTGGTTGGTTGTTGGTTGGTGGTTGGTGGTTGGTGGCGGTTGGTTGGTGGTTGGTGGTTGGTGGTTGGCGGTGGTTGGTTGGTGGTTGTTTGGTGGTTGGTTGGTTGGTTGGTTGGTGGTGGTTGGTTGGTGGTTGGTGTTGGTTGGTGTTGGCGGCGACACAGCGACGCCAGGGCGTACATCCGACCCCTTGCAGAGTACCACGTGCTGCGCCTGCCACGCAAAAGCCACGGAGACCACAGGACGCCAGGGCGTACATCCGACCCCTTGCAGAGCACCAAAAAGCCACGGAGACCATAGGACGCCAGGGCGTCCATCCGACCCCTGCAGAGTGAGTGAGTTGAGTAAATCAGTGAGTGGGTTGAGTGAGTGAGTAGAATGAATGACTTGAGTAAGTGGGTCGAGTGAGTGAGTTGAGTGAGTGAGTTGAGTGAGTGACTTGAAGGAGTGAGTTGAGTGAGTGAGTTGAGTGAGTGAGTTGAGTGATTGAGTTGAGTAAATGAGTTGAGTGAGTGAGTGCGTTGATGTTGTTGGTGGACGTTTTGTTGGTGGATGTTGGTGGTTGTGTGAGTGAGTTGATGTTTTTGGTGGACGTTGTTGGTGGATGTTGGTTGGTTGGTGGTTGTTGAGCGGGGGGGAGCGGGAGGAGGGAGGAGGCGGAGACGAAGAGCGGATACAGCACTAAAAACAAAAAGCCACACGCCAATGTGGGGAAAAAAACATCCGCGCCATCGCATTGGCTCAGTTTGGTCAGGGTGTGTAAAACACCGACCAATTTCAATTCGCTTTTCATCGCTTATTTCGCGTGTCAACCTCGGCGGCCAAAAAGATTACAATCCTTCGCTCCATATTTGAAAACGTGCGCCCAAGGCACTTTGAGATGGGAGCTGAGGTGGTCCTGTTTCTCGCAGGCTTTTCCACAGCCGACGCCCCAGTTGTTTCATCTTCTTCTTTGAGCGCGAGCTATTTTAGCGGGGCCCTCTGTAGGTACATCATGGTCTTGGTTCCGGTCGGCGCCTCTTTCTTTTCATGTTGGGGCGGCGCAGCGACGCAAACGCCAACGCAGTTGTCCGTTGAGGTTTAACTGCCCTGCGCCCTCCTCAGTCTGTCCTTGTGGGTTGGGGTTAGGTTACTTTTCTTTTTTTCCTGGTCTGGAATCTCGACACAGCTTGGAAAAATCAAAACGATGATATATGGAGGCTGGGGCGAGTGTTGTCGGACGGTGACGAGGCCAACTCAAGCCATGCGTTTCCCTTCTTGCGCAGCCCAGTGATGTAGATGACCGGTGTGGTGCGATTCCTGGCATAGACTTGAGCAACGGCTTGCCGTGACTCGTCGTTCCTTTTTTGAATGCGATCTCCTATACCATTGAAAAGAGGCGTGCAACCTGGCCTTCTCCCCGGCGGTGGACTTTCAAGACTTTCAAATGTCGCCTGCCGCAATCACACCACATATCTAACACAATGGGCTGCGCAAGAAGGGCAACGCATGGCTTGAGTTGGCCTCATCACCGTCCTCACCGCCCACCGCATCCTGCAAAACGCAATTGAAAGGCAACGGCAAGGAAAGCAAGGCGAACAAGGACAAACAAATGCGAGTCCTTTTCCAAGGGGTCTTCAAACGCAACCTGCCACGTGTAGCAAAATCAAAAACAATGTGAGGAAACCCTGCAGCAACACTATGGGCCGGATTGTCCTTCTCAAAGAATGGTTCCTGCCACAATAACCGAACTGTACCCCCAAAAAGTGAAATCCCGAAAGTCGCGGAAAAGTCAATCGCGCAACGTGAAGGCCCACTTGGAGCGCTCCCCCGTCCACTCAGCGCTCGCCTGGCCCACAGACTGAAGAAAATCTGTATAACGTCCAGGCCCTACGCTTGGTCGCTCCGCTCCTCCTCCTCGCCGGCCCATGGCCCCTATGGCAAGAGCGTCATGTATGTCGCCGTTTTGCGCATTGCCCACACAGCAAAGGGCCTCTTCGTCTTCGCTATAGGCTCCTGCCAAATTTTTAAATAACGTGCCACGTCAAGCCGATCATTGAGGGCATCCAAGAACTCGCCCAACCAACGAAAAAATCCTACTAAAGTTTTGCACCCGAACAAAAAAAGCGTCGACAAACGACACTATATAGGTCCTCCTCCATCCTCGACGCATCCTGGCATAGACAAGCGCAATGCAATCCACCCAAGGGACGCAAACATGAGCAGCGGCTTGCCTCGACTCGCTCCTTTACAAGCGCGGTCTCCTATACCATTGAAAACAGGGGAGCTTTCAAATTCCGCCTGCCTATATAGTGACTTTTGTTGACGCTTTCTTTTTTTGTCCGGTTGCAAAACTTTGGCAGGATCTTTTTTTTTTCGTTGGTTGGACGAGTTCTTGGATGCCCTCAACGTCGTGCAAATCAGCTGGGGGGTGTATTGTAACCGTGGGAGACTGGTTTGATGGCTTGCTGAAGCACAAGCTTCCTCACGGATTGGAAGGCAACTCAGTTGATTCTTCACTTGAGTTTTTTTACATCCCAATCGAGACAGACAAGTGCATTCCCTGTAAAGCAGTTGACAATCGTTTCTACTGGTATCTACTTTGCAGCGGACAACTACAAAACCTGGCTTGATGGATCTCCAACCAAGGCAGTAGGGTTTTTGCTGAAGTAGGCGCCTCCGGTGTTGAATCACAGTAGCAAGGACGCTGCTAACGAGTGCAGATGCCACAATTGAATTCAGGGACAGGATGTCACCGGGCTGATAAACTCCACGCTTGTCATGTACTCTTGCTAAACAGCTAAACATTGTTGACGTGGGGTCCATCCCAGCACAAAGTTACCAAGAAAGGGTCATGGAATGTCTCATGGCATAGACTGAGAAACGTTCAGCAAACACAGACCAAGAACAATGCCTGTGTGCTTGAGGAGGTTGGAGGCCATGCTAGTAGGGTGGAGGCCAGCGCTCTAAGTATCAAGGGGGTAGTTTATTTTTACCAGCGGTGCCGGTTTGTGTTTGATCCCACCAAGCCTCGCACAATTGATGTCCTATGAGGTGCTCATGTCCTACCTTTGTGGCTCCATCCCAGAGGAGGTGAGGGGATTTGGTGCTGGTAGGGGTGGGACATGGAGCATCTAGCAGCAAGGAATTGTTGGTTAACCTGGTTTCATATGGTATTATTTGTTTATAGTTTAAACATATATACAAATATTTCGTGTATATATATATATTTGAATTTAACATTGAAAAATATCCCTTGTGTATCCTGAACTGTTTTTTTTTCGCAAGACCGTTCCCGCAGATTTATTCTGACCATGAAGAGGTGATGTGAGGTACGGTATACCCGCACCGTGGAGAATGTTTTGGGACACAGTTTAGTTTCATCTTCACTTGATTGAAAGGCACCTTCCTTCTTTATTCAGCGAAGTAGTATAAAACCAACTGTTCTCAGTGGCAGAGTTCCCCAAATTCAGCCACCTTCTCTGGCTCCTCGCTCTCCCCCTGTGTCTCGGGAACGATCGGAAGCGCGATACATACGCAGGCCCTCCTGCCGTTGTACCGGAATGCTTTTGGTGCCTTGCGTCCCGGGGGACGGCTGGTGGTCCATGACTTCATGGTGGAAGACTCCAAGGATGGACCCGCCACTCGAAGACATTCGACGGGGAGGGGATGGCTGGGGGTGGACGGCCGGTGTGTCACTGGAGGTCACTCGGCGCAGAGTCTACAGGTGTCAGAGGCATTTTCAGGTGTGTGTATGACATGTTAGGATATTACAATATATTGTATGGGTAATTATTTATTATATCATAATACTAGTTATAAGTTATAAGGAAATTTGAGATTGTGGTCTGTTCAGGTGTGGTGGAAAGGCTGCAGGTTTGCTGTTTGGGAAAAAAAGAGAGATCTTGAGTCCTTCCAAAGGAACTAGCATGTCCTCACGCAAACTCATTCTAAAGGTCATATTTCGGAGATAGTGCTGTAGATATAAACAAACACAAGCACTCTAATGAACTGATGAAGCACTGCCCAAGCATGTTCACGACCGACCCATGTGGTACTTGTGTTGTTGAGCTTTTCTGGGAAAGTCCAGTCTGTGACAGGTGTTTGATCATTTCCCAAATGTTCAAAATCCATTCATACAAGATGATGGAAACATTGCCTATACCTTGCGTCTTGAGCATTTCTTGAACATTTCTACCCATAGTCCATTCAATTCATACCCAGGAGTTCAAAAGGGATGCATCCCTTAGACATCCCTTCACCGCCCCTTTTAACTCCGATGCAATTCGAGCAAGTCATTTGTTTGGTTTGGTCCGGTCCAACTTCGGAACACCCAAAAGCGATCAAAAAGAATCTGACGTCTTTCAATTCTATATAAACTCTTACCACGTATTTGCTGGCTCCTTCAAATTAGCCCCGATATAAGGATTCCTCATTCCAGGGCTGCTGGCTCCTTCATAATCAGAGTGTTTGTCCGAACACGGTCCCAATGAAGACAATACCGCGCCTTGTGCCCGAGGCCTTGGGCGCCTACTGGGCGCTGCAGCACGTGACGGTGAATCCCCAAGGCTTGGGCTTGACGCCCTCGGGCGTCGCGGAGCGCTTGGCGGCCGCGGGGTTTGAGGTGTTGGAGCAGAGCGACCTGATTGCGCGCATGACCAAGGCAGATGGGATGGGATGGGATGGGAGCACAGATGATCCCGACTGCGACAGATGTATGGGGTGATTTCCCACGAAGTGGTACGGTTTGAGGATGAATAGTAACTGCATGGTGTTATAGTAATGTTTGAGGATGAATAGTAAGTGGTAGGATTTGTTTGAGGTGTGATACAAGTTCAAGATTGCCAGACCTCCGAACCGGCTACCTGAGGTTGTCGTTGGCCGCAAGCCTGAGTGAGCCGAGCCTCTTCCAAAAATCGGTTAGCTGGCGAGAAAGAAACGACGCGCTGTGGAACCAGACAGAGATGTGGAGGGCTGCCAGATGGTGTTGAGACAGCAAAGCAAGGAACATGAAGGTGCCCCAACAATTATCCGTGCTTGGCAGTGAGAGTTTGCCCGACTCTACTTTGAAGAGTCAAGAAGAAGCTGAGTCTCAATGCGTTTTTTTTTGTGGAATTGGGTGAATGTGTTGGATTCCTAATTAACCGGTCGGTATGTCCCTATAGGTCCTTATATAGGTGTGAACGACCGATGATCGATTAAGTTATTACGGGTCTATCAGACTGAACAATAAGCGGAGCAGTCCCGCTTCTGTAAGAAGTATCCACACAAACAAGGGCTGCATCATGCTGCAGCAAATACAGTAGTGGTCTCAAAGTCTGCGATGTTTATACTTACACGTCTTTCATTTTTTACCACTTTTATACAGACATTTCTCAAACCCACCACCCTCTCCCCAGGCTGAGTAGGTCCCATTTATAGTCAATTTAGCCGCCAGGTGCTGATGGAAGCGATGGTCCCCCCATCCTCAGTCTCCATGGCGACGTGGACTTGGGCTTCCTCTACAACCCGGCTTGGGACCCCGGTCTGTGCCGAGAACACACGCAGTTTCTCCCGAGTGGGGTCGACCATGGACTGAATTATTGACAATCGATTTGGTCCGGATTTCTGTCCGAAAACCCATTTTGGGTGTGTATTTTCGGGATACCCCCAAGACCTCCTGGAAGAAGTTTGGACTCTGGCATTTAGCATGGCGGTCCGTGTTTGGCCATGAGTCATAGTGGTCATTGAAACCCTTGCAGCAACCCCATTTGACAGATGCCATGTCCTTTCCGAATCCCCGAACCTGGCGAATCCTGGGGAATATAATATGTGTTCTTAACTAGCTATATTACTATCATGAGTACTCTATCGACATGTAGGTGGTATTCATATCAATCAAAGCCCCCAAAGAGAAAGCGATAAGTCAGTGCTGACTAGTCAGAGGGAAGTTTGGACCGGACGCCAGAGTTCACTGGCCCGTTTGAAGTGGTTGTCGTACGAAAGTCCGACGAGACAGTTATCCCAACAAAAGGAAAGTCTCCAGGTGCATGTCGTTCTGTGCATTTTTTTTTGAATCTCTTTAATGGACTTTAAATGCATCCAGCATCCATCCGGTTCTGGCACCTAAGACCGGTACGGCACCGAAACGGTCGGGTCAGTCGGGTCACGTCCGATGGACCGGTCGACACCGGGACGGACCGGCAGATCCGGGCCTTTCTGCTGTGGCGCTACCTGGCTGTTCGGGAGCTCGGGGGGGGGGGGGCGAAGTCCCACTGAAGCCACGAGCCACGAGCCACAAACGTCCGATGTGGGGGACCGATGTGGGGAAATGAGTGGTGGTAGGGGCAATATCCATCAGGGGAAATCAAGATGAGCCATCAGTTAGGATGTTCTTAATGTCAAGGGAAAAGACGTTGGGGACCTGGAAAGGTCTTTTTAGTTTGAAGAGGGCCAAACACTCTTCCAAACATGTTTGTGAACATGGAGTGCTCAAAGTGGCTGGCCAGCATCCCAGTGGAAACCCACAGATATCCACAGATCATGAATTGCCATTGGTGGCTTCAGGCATTTGGGTGTGCATGGGATGGATTTTTGGGTGAATTCACCGAGGTGTAAGATCGTTCAACTTGCTGAATAGGCGGGATGTCTTGGCCCAGACATGGCCCCAGTCACATGTGTCGGTCATGTGTCGGTCGAAATGGAGCCATTTACTCACATGGCACTCCATTGATCCCATCATGGGACACAAAGGCATTCCATTGGCCATTAACATTTAGTCCATGTATTTGGTCTGTTTCAGCTGCGGACTGGATGCCTCACTGACGCCGTTGGTGTTTCGCGTGCGGGAGTATCTTTGCAGAACATGGTATACCTGCAAGTTTCCTGTTGGAATCGTATCAGGGGAGCTCAAAGTTCCTGGCCTCCATGCGTAAGAGGATGGTTGCGCCTGCCCACCATGCAAAAGACCTAAGATCTCAATCTGGTACTCTGATGAAGTGAGACCAGGGAAGCTGGTTGTTAACACCCGCAACTTGCAGTGCAAGCAGCCGACCGTTGCGAACGTGCTTGGCTTACTTTGGCTTACTGTGCAGTCCGCTCCTTTGCGCTGTGGGAGTTCGATGGCGTGCCTCAAAAGTGGCGACATGGACACGTTCTATTATACTGCACACTCCATGGGACTGCCATATATGCCTACATTGACCCCTCTGGCACCACCCCTGGCCGTTTCTCGGCAATCCTATGGCAGTCCCATGGGTCGTGTCTGGGTTATAAAAGTCACACAGTGCGTCTTCTCGACTGGGCCCAGACAGAATTCCGTCGACGTGACGGCCTGGTCTCGGTCTCCTCCTCGTTCGGATGAAGAAGATGTTTGGGTGTGGTCCGTTCGTCTCGTCATGGGTGTGGATGAAGGAAACAGATTGACCGTCTAGTCTATTCTTCTGACTATGACTATGACATACTATGACAATGACCTATGCAGTTTGGTCTATTCTTCTGACTATGCAACTGTTTTAAAGCTGGCTACTGCGGTTTTAAAGCTGGCTACTGCTACCCCCAGCTTTCCACCGCTCTTTTACTCCATTGTGCATCGCCCGCTGCAGGTGCATCACCCAATTGACTGCGATTGGTATGCGAAGGCCGATGAGTTCCCAGGGAATCCAGACGTGTATGGTTATATGTCATGGTTTGTATGTCCCCCCTCTCTCGGCGGATCCATGTCATGTATAAATATAATATCTATTATAGTGTTAGGGTTTGTATCGGAATCGGGAGAACTTCGAGCCCCCCCTCAAAACGGTTTTAGACCGTGCTTACAACACAATATGCCTCCAAACATCTCCACCGTTTGTTTCATGGACTTCTTTCCCGGTCCACTGTCCGCGTTCCGTGGACTGCGCTGGGAAGACCCCCAACATGCGCAGAGGTAGCTCAGGGCTGGCACGATATCCAGCCCAGCTACCTCCGCCAAGAATCCATGTAAAACCCTAAACAAATTCAAGCTTAAACAGCACACTGGCAAACACCGAACACCCAGCTGTTCTCTTGGAGATGGCCCTGCCAAGCATCCGTTTTGGTCAAAATCAGAGAATACTGTTGCTGCCCTGCTGCCACCATCTGTCGGTTCTTACTGTACGTTCCACCTTTCTCCAACACCGCAGTCACCGGCAGTCCTTTCCGTCTGATTTGCTCCATTCGATCCCTGTCGGACGGACGGGTTTGTGAACAAAGTTGCTTAGACCGACACCTCAAATCAGGACTTCAGTGCAGGATTTGTGTAAGTCAACACCCAGCCAATGTGAACAAGGATTCCCCAATTCCACATCGACCACAAAACGAACGATTGACAGATCTACTGTGATCTACTTGTTCAAGAGGAAACCCGACTACTACTCTGCCAAGTGAAAGAAAGGCTGACCTGGTGACCTAGTCAAGAAGCAGTAAACAATGGCTGTTCATGATTCACACAATTTTCCTCCCTGGTGGTCGCAATGGCTGTTCATGTCAAGAACTTTAATTTATGTTAAGCAACATGTGTGATGAACATGCAGAGCAAGTCCTCAGGACAATGCATCTGCTATCACCTACTACACTTGAAAATGATGGGTCGAGAATCATGGTCTATGGGTCCAAGCTGGACTTGAGGTCCTGTGGTTTTGCAAGTCTTGGAGACTGTTCAGCTTTGTTTCCAGATCCCTACCCTACCCTAGTTACCGTATCGTTGCCTGTGACGTCCACAGAATTGGTTTAGCTCACGGGATCCTACCCCATGTACTTCGCTCAAAAATGTTCAAAGCACGATTGATCAGTCGCCTCGTTGACCCCGAAAACCTGCGCAGGTGGATTCTGACACTTTCTTGAACCTTTGGGCCTTGCTCCAGCGCTTGGACACTTATTTCAATGGGTCACTTGGCAGAGTTTCTGGGCGTTGAAGGAGTTTCTGGGGTCTGGTGCATTGGATAGGGCGGGGTGGAGGCCGATGTTGGCGAAGGGATGAAGAGGCTGGATGTGGAGGCAGCTGTGGAGGCGGATGTGTTTGAGCGGGTCGACATGTGTTTTCTAATGGAAGACATCACATCGAAGCAAACCCGATCCCCCACGATTCCCCATAATTACATAATACATGATAATCCTCACATGCTGGCTGCCAAATGAACGAGTTCCATGAACCTGTGGTTTTTAGTTGTTTTCGCAGCCCAACATAAGTAGGGTTTTGAGGAGCGATCCCTAAACTCGTGAGTGGACTCATGTCCCAGGAGGGTGGGTGAATTCATTGGTTCTATGGGTCAAAATTAGATTAATTCTTTTGTAACGTTTTAATTAGACTGCCCCCCAGCATCATCCAACAGAGTTGGGATATTGGGATATTTTTGGTACTGCTTGGGTCGTCCTGATCTTTTTACCCTACAGGCTTGGTTGGCAAGGGAATTGCTCGAAAGAAGCCTGCCCCGTTCAATTGTGTCCTTCAGCTCCCAGCTGTACCGCGCAGTCGCCCAGTCCTCGCGAGGACCCAGCTGCACTACTTGGGCTCCTTGAAGCCTGCGCAGCCCTCCGTGGAGGAGTCCTTCCCCTTTGCGGTGAACTCCATTGCGATCTGGGCAGAACAAGCTGGACGTGAGAGATGGGATACTGAAGGAAGCCCAAAATTTGGACTGAAGGATGCCTATGTTGGGAAGGTGTGACTGAAGACTTATATCGGTTTTTTTCGTGCCTATATGTCCATCCGGGAGATGCACTGGGAGACATTGATCAGATCACAAATTGAGTGCCTGTTGAACTTGTCTGGCGTTGTTGCTGGGTTGGGTTGTTGGAGTTTCAGATGGGAGCCAAGACTTCGCAAGTCCAGTGAAGAGTCGGGCCCAGTGGTTCGGTGAAACGGCCGGTGAATCCTTGGTTTTGTGCACTGCCTACGAACCAACAAAGCACTATCCCAGAGGGGCAAAATGACAGGACCTACAGAGTCTGTGCGCATCTTGAATCGGTTTGTTACTGTAGCAGCGCATGGTCACTCATTGAGCAAGCGCAGAAAAAGGCCCCGTGTTTCTTCACCTTTTGAATCGCTTTTCTGCAAGCAATTGATTTACATAAGCCTGACTCCCTGCAAATGCCTCTAAGACTAAGATTTATCAGATTCTTGGGAGTCAGATGGAAGATGATATTGAGGATTCCATTGTGCACTGAAGCGGTGCAGGTGTTGTTGCAAGCCTTCTGGATGCAGGTGATTCATGCGGAGCCTCACGCGCCTCAAACGCAGCTGCGAGAAAACCTGAGGTGATCAGCGGAGCCCTCCTGAGGAAAGCAAGGCCCCGAGTTTTTGCGTTGTACGTCAGCCAGTCCTGATTATATGCACTATACATACATTAGTTACTGCATAGTCATATATGGTAGAATCATTACCAACAGATTCGTCACGAGAACCGAGTTACTCCAACGAGTGGTTATGCGCTACATCGCGTTCTTGGCCGAGCCCTCCTGGTTTCGTCGCTCGGTCCACCGGTCGTCCCCCGGTCGAGTGTGTTTGCCCAACCGGTCGCGACCAGTCTGGACCGTCCGGAACACGTGGCGCAGACCACGGTCTTTGCCACGTCGTGCCTGGCCAGGGAACAATCCTCACCCCGAAATTGTCTGCGAGAATACGGGATCCGAAAGAATTGCACACAGGTCGCTGAATTATATAGTTCGCTGTGACCTCGCCCAAAATTCAGCCTTTCCCACATTCCAACGACAGATGCATGCATCTTGGTGCTGGGGCGAACCATTCATCTTGGTATCAGATCTTGGTCGAAGCTGCATCGAATGTGGTTCGATCCCGTCGAAGTTGGACGAGTCGATGAGCGCCAGGACCTGGTTGTCCTTGTGCTTCCACGATGTCATCGCCCGGAGGCACCAGACCGTTCAACCGTTGACCGCGTTGGAGCCTGGCGCGTCTCCGCTCGGAGCCTACCAGGAGGAGTGAACGCATTTTACTAGGGGTCCTAGTATGGCACCATCAACGGGCAAGTGTATCACACTGCTTTTATATATGCTATATGCTAAAATACTTATTGCCATTTAAACACGCATTCCCGGCGTCATCATCTCCCTTCGATATTAGATTTGAATGATTTGGTCAGGCTGGAAATGAAGCGGTACCCAGTTTCCTTTCAAGGATCCCTGATATGTTTGGGGGGTTGTGTGGGGAAGAGGTCTTCAAACATATGCAATGAGTTTTAATTCATACGATTTACCGTACACCGCCTGAAATGATCACGGAAGAGCATGTTCAATCCAGAGGAAGAAGGTGCGCATGAGGCTATTACAGAAGCCACACTTAGCAACTGGATGAAGGAACCTTGGACTGGCCTTTGTATGATGTTGAATTTGGCCGCAATCAAGAAGCATTGCCAGATTCACGATCACAAGCTGAGACTTGCTAATGCTGTTGCAGTGGCTTTGGCAGGTCACATCGGATTCCTGCGTGAGCCTGCGGGGCCTGTGGTGGTGGGCCCCGATTACATGTCCGAGGATAGCGATCCAGACGAGTACAAGAATCATGTGAAGTCAGTTGGAGCTACACCGCTATCAAGGACGCGCATGTCCAATGCTTTGGAGCCTGAAATTACCACTGCAGCAACAGTGATGCTGTCGAGGATGGCAACACTTGCATATACCCGTCTCTCACGTGCTGGGGAGGATGGCGCCAGACGTGGATGTTCGGTCCACAGAGATCATCACTGACGTTGTGATCGCCGGCGCAGCGAAAGCGATTGATGATGTGTACTACGTTCGATGACAGCGAAAGATGTCACTATGAGTGCTTTTCTAAGCCGAGGCATTCTGAAGGCCACATTTGACGATGAGTTTCAGTCCTTGGCTGGGACCAGGGTGCTTGCCTAGCCAAAGATGCCTTTCCTGGCATGCGGGATTGCTTGCACGTTACTTCGCAGCTGTGCCAGAAAGAATATAAAGATTTGCAAGCTACCGTGTTGCTAGAGTTTTCGCTTGGACGACCTCTGAAACTGCCATGCGGGCCCACCACCGATCGCATCCGATCGGTCCTCCGGTCCTCCCTCCGGTCGCTTCCGGGAAGACGTTGGTGATTTTTGGTTTCTGAAAATTGGTTGCCAGCCGCCAGCCATGTTTTTGTGCTTCGCATTTTGATGTGGGACTGAGAAGCTAGGTTTTTGAGCTTGGATTCCAAAAGGTGCTTCCAGAAGCTGCTTCTGGAAGCCTGACATGTTGATTCTGGAAACTGGTTTTTGTGGCTTCTAGGAATGATGGTTTTGATGATGTTTTAAAGGATACCATGACAAGTTGGAATACGTGGGTTCAATCAAGAAAGCTGCTACCAGTTTCTGTATGGGTCCGGTTTGCACACATTGGTGCTGTAAAACAGACAGAAAGCCTCAAAACCAGCTATCCAAATTCTGATTGCTTCACCTTGGCCTTCTGTTCTGATTGCTTGGCCAAAAACAGCACTACAACCTTCCACAGGCTGACCTACCTTTCATGCACATGGACACGCATGGTATGTGCAAAAAGCAGTGCTAGGCACTGATGCATCTTGATAAACACCCAAAGCTGGGCCAAGTCAGCTGTAGATTTGCAGCCGCCCTCTCCGGGCTTGAGCTCGCAACTAGCCATTCTTCAGGTTTGAAAATGCGTTTAAGCTTCAATGGTGCCCAAAGGTTGTTCAACTCTTTGAGATGGCTTTGGCATTGCTTCTTGTCCCTCTCCACCTTCTCCACAGCACCTTTGCCTTCTCCAGGCTTGACTTTGGAAGGGTAAGCTCCCAAACTCTTAGCGCCATCTCCTTTCATATACCCATAGTTTTTTTTCCTGCTTTCTTATGTTAGCCTGCACCGCTGCCTCCTGCATTTGGTAGGCTCCCTTGTCCAATTAACTGCTCAGGGCATTGATGGTCTTCTTCTGGCTGCCGAGTGCCTTTCGTAGGCTTCAGCTTCCAGCTCCTCTTCTGTCGGCTCTGGCTTAGAGCATTCTTCAGGCTGAGGGTCGGGAGCTGGGGCAGGTCCATGGCTTGAGTTGCTGCATTTGTTTTCTCAGAAACATGAGCTGCTGGCCTTCTCCACGCTCCACAGCCAGCCTGCTCTCCACTTCCGAAGTGGTCAGCTTCCAGCTCCACATGCTGGTTTACTGACGTCATGGACTGTCTCTTGTGCTTCTCCACTCCCTTCATACCAGTTTTCAGCTTGACCCTCTTTGGCTTTCCATGCAGGGTTGGGGTGGTCCTTGCAGTCCCTCCCCTGGGCCGCATCATCGCAGAGCTCTAAGCTTGAGGGTTGGCCCCCTCAAGCTCACCAACCTTCCACTTAGAGTAGTAATATGAATATGTAGTAATCCAAAAATTGCAAATTGCCCCTTGGATGACCATTTTCCTTTGCATCCTCTACAAACAGGTGGTTGTTTGTCTACTTCAATGCTTATTCCAGAGAGTGTAACACGGCAAAGGGTCCTAGGACAGTTCGTCATCACAAAGACACTCCAATACACTATACATGTATGTTTTGCCCGCTGATTGAACAGAATGGTGCCAACCTTTGGAGCTTTTGGACGAAACCTGACAAGAATACACATATATATAGTATTATATATATTATATATAATTCTCCTTCCAGAAGGTTTGGAGGGTACAGTTTGACGATCCTCACCTGTTTAGTGAAGATTGATGCAGGAAACTGTCCTATACCGACTCTTCGGAACCCCTGGTTCCAATTCTAAGACCATTTTTTTGGGGGGCTAACCCTGCCGTGCAAATTGCAACCGGCAAGGACACCCCAACTCAGGCGGTCACATACCCCTTCTCCACACCTCCGATCGTTTACACGGCTGTTGCTGTGGATGTTTCCGTTCGCCAGGCTAGGCCAAGGAGCTGAGGACAGCTACAGTCCTCCACGGGCTTGTAGGTGGGCATGTTGGGTTGCAGAGTCCAGTGGATGGATTCCCACTCTAACTTTACTAGCTTAGCAATCCACTGTGCTTTTGAGATGTAGAGATGGGCGACCGGCGACTGAATGCTTTCTCAATGTGAGCGGATACAGCATTCTTGGCAACAGCTGAAGCGGAAGGTGACTTGTGTTTGAGCAGGAGGTAGTCAGACGTTGTGGCTTCATCGCAGATTCACATGCAACGTCGTGCTATCCTACACGCCGTCGTTTCGTGATGCCAGTGTAGTTGGATTGATGTGTTGCATGTTCAGCCACTCCTCAAGGAGCATTGGGCCAGCATCAACTGCAACGACCAGTAGTCTATAGTGGTGGGCTACAGTAGCATTTAGCAGTTTTTTGATATGTTTTGAGGGCATGCGGCACTACAATCCATCAACTGCATTCTGAATGGGATTCATGTTGTTTGCAAGAATACATGCAACATCATGCAACTAAAGAACGGGAACGCAATCGGGCGACTCGGATGTGATTATGATTGAACCATACAATAGTGGTGCAACAAGCATATACAAACATCAGGGTGTCACAAATGTAAACAACTAAACAACAAAAAGACTAAACACATCGAACACATGTCATCAAAGGACAAAACACCAGGCATATTCCTGGCCCGCTGGTCATATGATGTCGTTGATCACATGGGTGCTTGACATGGGAGGTTCAGTTCAAGCAGGTGTTTTGATCCTGTTCGGGTGAGCCTATCAACCAACATCCCCATGGCAATATCCTCTGTGAAATGGGGAGGGTGCCACCCTCCATATTTGGTCTTATGACCCAGGGGATGCTTTTCTTGTGCCGCGAACGCCGCACTGTGAATCCCGATTGCGCAGGACGTGGACTTTGCCGCGTGCCTGCGACTCCACGGGTGGGTAGCACCTGCGAAGCTGGGTGAGATGCAGGCAGCGCCAAGTGCGGGTGCTCCGAAAAGGGGACCGGGTGTTTTGAGGAGCCGAACATTTTGTGGGAGAGGTGGTGGATGGATTGGATGGATTGGATGCAGCAGGGGAGACAAACATGTAATGCAACCGTTCTTGGTAGGAGACACGTCTCCTTTGATCATCAAATGAATCAAAAGCCAATAGCTTGCCTGGATACTCACCAAGAAATCTCACATGGCCACTCAAGCTGGGTGCCAGGCCTTGTTCGTTTGACACTCCAATGATTGCGGAGTCTGTTGACCTCTGAGATTTGGTTCAGAACCAACTCTGTTTCCTATGATTGTAGGTTGGTGCCAATCCTGAGCGCTTCCAGCATGCACAAGGACACTTGCCGAACCAGACAAACTACTCACCTTTCATCAATGTTTTGTGGCCGTGAGAACTCCTGTATCAAGGTCACACACACACATATATATATATACTGTATAACTTCAGAATCTAGACACCCAGAGACTCTAGATTTCAGATATTCATCGAGTGCGTCACCACCCGTTTGTCCTCACTTATGAAGGCAATCTCCCCACTTTAGTCATGGTTGGTACTTCATTGCTATTATTTATAAGTGCCGCACATGCGTGACATAATTATGAGTCACACACCTCATTAGTTGACCTCTCAACAGGGCATGAGCCCTCCATGTGCGCTCCATGTGCCCAGCGGACAGGAACTCCCCAGCCGCTCCTATGCCAGCATCGTGGGAGGCGGCGACGGTGGCAAGTTGCACCTCAGCCAAAAAACGATTCTCTTTGATACAGAGTGAAACAACTGACTATGGGTCAGAATTGAAACTATGGGTCAGAGTGAAACAAGGACGATTCTCTTCTATACACTTCGGGGCAGTAATTGACTGTGGGTCACCAGTTTTTCACTTTTTGCTGCATCCCAAGGCACTGAAACATCGATGTCCGAGGTCGGGATGCACTTGTACTTATTGGTTTGATCACGGTTAATGCGTTTGAGGTTAACACTGAACATGGTCAAGTATTTGTGCTGATTGTAGGCATGGGTCACCTTTACCAACGTTAACCGTTAACCCGATTTAGCCCGCCTCTTCTTCTCGTTGAACATGATGGAACATGATGGAACATCAGAACCGCACGTGTTCTTTTTGGAATCAACAAACAACTGATCGCCAGCAATTTGTTGACAGATTGATGTACGCTAGACGGGTCAACCGCTTTGTTGGTCATCTAGCAGGAGCCAGTTCAGCTTCCATGTCCCCGTAAGAATGAACGTAAGAATGGAGCACTGTTTGTCAATCGTTGATCCAACATGGCACATGTCAGCATAAAGATATGCAAATGGCTCTTGTAGGGGAACATGGTCCAAATCTTGATTGGAAACTTCACCTTCCATGTTTGCAGTGCTTGAAGTGCCATCCCGTACAGTGGTCTGAAATTCCTTTGCACCAAAAAGGGCTTCCCCATGGCCTGAGGCTGGGCATGTCTGGTGCGTGCACTCTCTTGATCCATCCGGTGCATGCCCACGAGATGTTGGAGGCGACTGGAGCCTGGGGCATTGGAGCTTCCCATCGGATTGAAGAACGGCAGGGGGCCCAGATAGACATGGTTGCTCCATTGTCTGAGGCCATGCCGTCAACGTAACCATGATTGTTTCAGGGAATATATCTTGAGATGTTTTAATAATATATAGACTATAGTTGTCAAAGGAAGTTTAGAAGGAACTTCCGTGTTACGAACATTTACATCACTCATCATACACCACTCATCATACACACTCATCAAACCACCACTCATCAAACCACCACTCATCATACACCACTCATCAGATTTCGTGGCAGGTGCAGCAATTTGTGCAGATTTCGTGGCAGGCACAGCACTTTGTGAACCTCCATGTGCAGATTTCGTGGCAGGTGCAGCACTTTGTGAACCTCCATGTGCAGATTTCGTGGCAGGCACAGCACTTTGTGAACCTCCATGTGCAGATTTCGTGGCAGGCACAGCACTTTGTGAACGTACATGTGCAGATTTCGTGGCAGGTGAAGCACTTTGTGAACCTCCATGTGCAGATTTCGTGGCAGGCGCAGCACTTTGTGAACCTCCATGTGCAGATTTCGTGGCAGGTGCAGCACTTTGTGAACCTCCATGTGCAGACTTCGTGGCAGGCACAGCACTTTGTGAACCTCCATGTGCAGATTTCGTAGCAGGCACAGCATCTGGGGAGCTGGAAGCTGAGAACTGGCGGCTCTTGTAGTGCAACTTAGTACGCGGAGCAATTTGTGAGCTGGAAGCTGAGAACTGGCGACATTGTAGTACAACTTTAGTGCGCGGAGTATCTGGCAAGCTGGGCGATGAGGACTGGCGACTTTGTAGTACAACTTCAGTACGCGGAGCAATCTGTGCAGCTAGAAGCTGAGAACTGGCGACTTCGTAGTACAACTTTAGTACACGGAGTATCTGGCGAGCTGGACGAGGAGAACTGGCGACTTTGTAGTACAACTTTACTACGCGGAGTATCTGTGGAGCTGGATGGTGAGAACTGGCGACTTTGTAGTACAACTTGAGTACGCGGAGTATCTGTGGAGCTGGATGGTGAGAACTGGCGACTTTCTAGTACAACTCTAGTACGCGGAGCAATCTGTAGAGCTGGAAGCTGAGAACTGGCGACTTTGTAGTACAACTTTAGTACGCGGAGTATCTGGCGAGCTGGACGATGAGAACTGGCGACTGTGTAGTACAACTGCAGTACGCGGAGCATCTGGGGAGCTGGAAGATGAGAACTGACTGGCGACTTTCTAGTACAACGTTAGCACGCGGAACAACCTGTGGAGCTGGAAGCTGAGAACTGGCCACTTTGTAGTACATACACTTGTACATGCCCAGTTGGTTCAACACGCCGTTGTGGGCTGCTGATCTTGTCGTGGCAAAGATACAACCCAGTACGCTGTTGTGAGCTGCTGATCCTGCAGGGGGCACACACCTTACACACGTGGAATCCCGTGGGTCAAAAGTCCGGAGCGCGTGCGTTTGACTGGAGGACGCGCATGTTGTAGAGAACGTGGACACTCCTATAGGTCAACTTCTTCTTATATGAAACTTCCGCCGCCGGCTTGCCCGGGAAATACTTGTATTATTACTACTTTTTTTAATGTTTGTGTTCACCATGTTTTCACCTTTACTTGGGAGGATTGAACCCACTATCGTTTCTTCCTTGAGTTCCGCCGTGTCACGAACGGCTCCGCGAGCCGGGCCATCCGGCGCGCCCGGCATCGGCGGGGGCGGAGGGACCACCACATCCGGAAGAAAAGAATCGAGGCCAATGGTCAATGTGCAGAAATATAATGCATATGTTTCAAGCATGGGTCACTTCACCCACTTGACGTCTCGCATGGCAAAAACCGGTCAGGTGCATGCAGAGCTCCTACGGCAAGAGCCGGAGAAGACGTCGTGCACATGGCCATCGGAGGACGAGTCTGGAGCTGGGTACCGGGTAGGGCATGGAATTCCAACAGGAACGTTGTTTGTCAAAATGTCTAACGTAGCCCAGTCATGTTTCTTTTTTGGAACCCCATGTTTGTGAACGTAGCCCGCTCCTCGAAATGGTTTGGGGTTTTGGCGCATGGAGGAAGCTGGGACATGCCATTGCCCGTGGCAGGACCAGCAGTTGGATGGCAAGGCAGGGTGGATCGATGAAGTTGTTTTTTTTCATTGGAGTGGAACATGAGTTGGGTCCAGTTCTTCGTCGTTCACCCCAAGGAATGGGAATGGATGAATTATGATGAATTCATCTATTCATGTTTGTCTTGAAAAAAACACACTATGGAAATGGGAAGCACACTTCTTTGAACCGTGTTTCATAGTGTTTCTCATTCTTTGCTTTTGGAGAAGGCCAGGATCTCCTTGGTCTCCCGTGTGCTCTTAATTCGGCCCTGGCCAGGATCGGTGCGGCCCATGGGATCAGTGGCCCGAGAACTACACAAAACAGTCATGAAGGGTACAGTATCATGACTGTATTTACAGGGCGGGACGAACTCAGGTGTTTTGGGTTTCACCTGTTTGAATTACAATGTTTTGAAGGGCTGAGCATGCTTCGATCAAGATCATCAAGAATCAATCAACTTCTGGCTGCTGTACTGTTGTGAACGCTGGGTTGAAGCTTGAAACCACACAACAAAGCCTTCACATGTTGCAGTCGTTCCAGAATTCCCTCTACAAAAGCAACCGGAAGATCTATCGCAAAAGCTCCCCTTTGGCCAATTTTAGAGATGCTTAGATCAGAGGCTTTAAGTATTTTCTTGCCATGTCATTTTAACGGCTTGGATGCAAGGGCGAACAAAGCTCGTATCCTGAGCCTGTTGTCCGCTTTCCTCTCGTTGAGGAGGCTCTCAGTGCCTGATGTCAGAATCCTCGCTCGCAAAATGATCGATGATTTTCGTCCCGCTCCCCAAAGCTAAACAACCAATCCGCACTTTTCCCCACAATCTAATTAGGCAGTTTTCCGTGCAGGTCTCCACCGGACCCCAGCAGGTGGGATTGGCTTTCCTACACTCTTTAGTTTGTTTTCTGCGGGGACAACGGCTTGGAGTCTGTTTTTCGCCAAGTCCACCTGAGTACTTCAAACAGCTGGACACACTCCACTCATCTCTACTCCTTCCGGTGGGAAGTACCGCCCCGCCGGGCTCCGCACGCCTAAGGTCCGTCCCAGGACGCTCCTTGGTGTTTGTCCATGTGGATGAAATGTCCCACATTTTGGTCACTGTAGGTCTGAAACAAGTATTCCAGATAGTCCATACACAGAGTTTGGACATCCATTCTATTAATAATATATAGTAATATGTATATACACATTATGTACGATTATGTGTGTTGTTTTTTGTTGTCAGACGCTTTGGCAAGTTTGGGTGTCAGTGTCGGCGACCATCAACCGGGCTCTTGTCCGCGGCTTCAGTCTTTCGTTCCACTCGGGCAGGCGTGGGCTGACTACAAGTCCATTTATTTGGCCACTTGGTACTACCGTAGGTACCGTAGGTAGGTACTCTGGTTTTTGTCGGATCGACGGCAAGAACATTTCCTGTTCGTGTTTGTTTTTGAGGTGGCGATGCGTCTGGGTTATGGGGGCAGCGGCATGCTGAACAAAAACGGGGATCAAACCTGTGAGTCTCACCACCCTCGCCAATTTAAAGGAATACTACATGTTGAACTGGGAGAAGTCTACTACAATTTGAACTTCTTCATTCAAGTCAATGATGATGTTCAACTTGGGGTGTACCTCTTGGGGTACTGGGCCAAACATAGCGTCTCCAGTTGAGACAGGGGAGAAGCTCCCAAGGCTTGATCAACCTCTGACGACCTTTCGTGAACGTCATTTCCGAACGGCAGAACAAGCATGTAATTCATGTAAAATGATTCGAGTGAAAGAAAGACACTTATATTGGATTGTAAAATCAAGTTAAACCTCTTTATTATGGGGTGGCTTAATTTAAACAATCCAAATGGGGTAGTGATGAATCAACTTCAAAACATCACGTGCCTTTGCAATGGTTTTTCTTGTCCACCGGAGCCACTCCTTTGTGCCTCTCGCCATCAAAGTCAATCAGGTGCCTTTGACGGCGAGGTTTTCTTGGGTTCATTCTATGCTCGCCAGGACCATATGTAGGGGGGTGCTAGAATTGTCAGATGAACCAACCAGTTCATCACGGTCCACTGAGCACACCATGCATATACACAGCCGCTGCACATGATGCCCATTTGAAGGAGAAAAAGCGACGATCAACTGTTTTCAGTTTTGCAGATCGCTTTCCTTTTCGTGGTGGCTACTGCGTTGGTGTTGGATCCGGTTTTTCATAGCAGTCTCACCAGCCTGCCGAACAACGAACGACTTGGTGGGACTGCGTCCTCGCCATGTCACCTGGGATTGCAGGAGATGCGGGAGTTCATGCTAGAAGCCAGATCTACCAGGGAACCAACAAGTCGAAGGAAGGTGTCCCTGTTTGGATGATCAACGACTGTTGAACCAAGTTGAACCCAGCAGTTCAGTTCGACAATCTCTTGCCAAAGTTGCAGGGTAGGCTACTAGTAGGCCACAGCAACTTTCCAAAACAGGGCATTGAATCATGGTCATGGCTGCCTGGTGCGCGTGCCCCGCTTTGCCCACTCCGTTGGCTTCCTATGCGGAGACTGTGCGCACTGAACGTGCTTCGAGCCGTTCAGTGCAGAAGACGCTGCCGTTCCCCATGTAGCTCGGATGAAGTGATGGCAGCTGCTAATGCGCTGGGGCCACCACAACGTTTGGGATGTGTGCTGAATATTTGGGTTGCGCTTTTATAGTGTTGCTGGAGCAATTGCAAACTTGTACGTAATTTTGTATTGTGATTGGAGCGGGCTATGGGCAGAGGACCTTTCTTTACAATATTGCATTGTGCGCGTTAGAAGCATCTGTATTGAAGGGTTACAAGTTGAACTATATATATATAAGATGCCCCTGCCCAAAGATCGGTATGCAGATGTGTTTCAAGCAGAGGACACGTACAAGTGTGGTTGAAGGCCCAAGGAAAAGATTGAAGGCCCAAAGAAAAGTCCATATATATAGTTGACAAGTAAATGCGAATGCAGATAACAGAAAGGAATCTTTTAGTTATTGATATAGGTAAGAGATCAGAGACTTCGGATCCACTTATTAGGCAAGGAACATGAAAGGAAGACAGAGACAGCAGAATTACACAGAAGAACATAATAAGCGCTGTTTATTCTATCTTATTTCCATGCATTTTCCTTACAATCTTTGATGCTCTTGTGCTTACAGAGAGGGTTTCATGTATAGTCATGATGATGGCCTGTTCTTTGTTATCATAACATATAGCATATACTTTATTGAAAAAACAGTTACTAAGAAAGGATAAGTAATGACGTGCTCCAATAAAAGACATGAAAACTAATAGTACCAATCTGCTTGTTGGATTATGAGTGCTTAAAGGTAATTCACAAGCTAGCTAGACACATTTTTTTCATAAGGCAAGACACAAGAAATCAAACAAGCGTCAACAAAGCAGCCATGCCACCTGTTCAGCTGCAAAAAGCTTCCTTCCAAGCATTCAAGCTGCAAACGCAAAATAAGAGAAAGCAAGGTTGCAACGAAGGAGGGTTAGTGCGCCGCTGCACTTGGGCAGCAGGCTGGCCTACAAAGTCAGCGCAGCCCCAAGAATAGAACTGTTATAGTGTTTCAATGTAGTACTGTATAATTGTTTCTTTTTGCTGCCTATATCTTTCGAGAAAACATCCACACTTGTGGTTTTGCCAGACATTGCAGTTGTAAGTGTCAATGAAAATGAAGAAGCAGAGCAAGAAGAAGCACAATAAGTAACAGAAGAGGTGGAATAACCACCAGAAGAAGTAGAAGGAAGTAGTGAAGCCAGAAGCGCCTAAACAACAAGTCATTACAGAACCAAAAAAGAACAACTCAATACAGAGAACTCAAAAGACAAAATGCTACATGTTCAATGTCTGGCAAATCCATGCAAGTAAAGGACTACATACAATTATAAACCCAAAAGGACTTGCATTGGAGCAATTGAAAGCAAACCAGTTTTACTACTAAAAGCAGAAGCTACGCCAAAAGCCAGAGTTCAATCCATTAAAGAAGAAGAAGACAACAAGAGAATTTTATGGAAGCTGTGCTGCGAGAAGCCTTCGAAAGGCATTCCTGTGCTACGGGTGCTACGAGCGGCCGTTTAAAGGCAATTCTGTGCCACGAGAAGCCTTTGAAAGGCAATCCGGTGCTACGGGTGCTATGAGCGGCCTTTTAAAGGCAATTCTGTGCTGCGAGAGGCCGCTTAAAGGCAAAGCTGTGCTACGAGAAGCCTTCGAAAGGCAATCCTGTGCTACGGGTGCTACGAGCGGCCCTTTAAAGGCAATTCTGTGCTACGAGGAGCCGCATAAAGGCAAAGCTGTGCTGCGAGAAGCCTTTGAAAGGCAATCCTGTGCTACGGGTGCTACGAGCGGCCGTTTAAAAGCAATTCTGTGCTACGAGGGAGCAAAAGCCACCAACAATGAATTAGGCGCTAAAAAGATTCAACTAGACCCGCGGCACCAGTAAACCCATGGAAGAATCTAGCGCACCACTATATCAGACAGAAGCAACAGCTTCTGCAAAGGAATGTTCAATAGCTAACAAGAAAAATAGTGCTGATTTGTAACTAAAATACTTACAATTGTTTCACTAGACTGAGGAACTGTTTCAGACGAACTGATTTTGCAAAGCTAGAGGTTACAGTACCATCTAACTGGCAACAGAGGCCTATGTTCAACATCAAATAGCAAAAAGGTAGCGGTTGTCGAGGTGGTGCAACTTTTACAGATACCCAGATTGATGAGTTTTCAGCATTGCAACCAAACCCACCAACAACATATACTAAAACTGATACAGCAAAGTAGCGCAACAGTTTATATTTATAAACTTCACTCTTGAGTTTACAAGCTATACTTGCTCGCGACTCTTTGGTGATGGGGGGGTTCAATGTAGAAGTATTTGTTTTCTTAAGTTCACACCCCCAGCGACACCCGCTCTCTGGGATGAAGTCAGCATTGAATTAGAAGAAATTCAATTTGCAGTGAAAGAAAGACATCAGAATGAAACTCAAATTCGTCTAGAACTCTATCTGTATAGAAAGCACTCACATTGAATTGTAACATGTTTAAATTTACTTTCAGCTGGAAGATGAAAACACGAAATATAACATGATAAATCCGATTTTAAGTATGACTGAATAAGAACTAAATTAGAAATAAGTTAGACGTAAACTGCAATTGAATTAGATCTGACGTAGATATTGAATTAGATGAACTTGAATTAAATTAAGGTTGAGTCAACATTACATCGTTCAAGCTAAAAGTGAATTAAAGTAGAATTGAATTAGAACTGTTTAACCTAGAGCTGGATAAGAATTCAATTAGTCTTGAATTTCAATATTAATTTCATATAAAAAGTTGATGTACAACTAAATTAGGACCGAACCAAAAACATTGTAGTCAAATTGCATATTCAAGCTACACTTAAAATTCGTCAATTAGATTCAGTTTCGAATTAAAGTACAAGTAAATTACAGAATCACATTAGAATGAAATTAAAGCAACTAGAATCAGATTAAAGGTAAAATCGGATTCAGTAAAGGATAGATTTTAATTCCAATTGAAGCATACAATTAATCAGTATTCAGTATTACTTCTGTTAAAAGTTAGAATAACATAAATGATTTAGAATTGCACTTTTGAATCACCTTGAGTTTGGATTATATACGAGATAATTGAATAATTGAATTCGAACTGAACTAGAAATTTTGCAGCAAAGTTATTTTTGAATTCAGTTGGATTCAAATGAGAATTCAATTAGACTTAAATAGCCCGGCGCGGTGAAAGTGGTTGAGTGAATATGTATTGGAGTGAAACACAGTCGGGGTGTTTTACCCGCCCTGTTTTGGAGAGCGGGACGTTACTGTAATCGGTCCTGGATGTTTCCCGCAGAAGTTTAGAGCCTTCTTTTGTTACAACCATTCACCCTTGACCTGTGGTAGCTTGATGCCATTCACCCTTGACCTGCGGCGACGGTAATACAGATAGGGACCCTGTGACCTGTGGGAGCTTGATGATGATGCTAATGGCTTTGGCGTTGCTAATGCCAATGCTATGGTACTGGCAATGGTGTGTGGCAATGGTAATGCTCATGACAATGGTGATGGAACGCCGTTCGCCAGCTATGCACCTTGTGACGTGTGGGAGCTTGATGTCATTCGCCTTGGTAATGGGAATCGTAATCTGCTCACGGTACTGGTACAATGGTCATTTACCTTTGACCTGTGGTGATGCTAATGGCAATGGGGATTCTCATGGCAATGGTGATGGGATGCCAATCGCCCTGTCGGCTGCGGGACCTTGATGCCATTCACTATGCTAATCGGAAAGTGCTCATGCTGATGCTTGTGCACCCCATGACCTATAAGAGCTAATGGCCACCAACCGTGCGCCTGTGAAAGCTTGATGCCGTTCACCCTTGGCCCCTGCCTATAGGAATCGTAATAGCAATGCTTTACACCCTCTGATCTGCAAGATCTGCTACCATTCACCCTGTGACCTGTGGGAGGTGACCTGCGGTAATGGATATGCAAATTGCAACGGTAGTGCTTATGGCAGTTGTGATCATGCTGCATCCCTTTGACCCGTGAGGGCTTAATGCTATTGACAATGCTAACTGTACTGGGCATGCTGATGGTACTGCTAATGCTGGCGCTAATAGCAATGGTAATGTTAATGCGAATGATCAACAATAATGGTATGGCCACTCACAATTGAACTGTGGCATGGCAATGGTGATGGTAATGCCATTCACCAATTCACCCTGTGACCTATGAGAGCTTGATGCCATTCACCCGCATTGACTTGTGGTAATGGAAATGGTAGTGGGTGATGGTGATGAAAATGCCATTCACCCTGTGATCTGTGGGAGCTTCACCTCGGGCGGGGGGTCGGCCAAAAGAGTAAGAAACCGATACCGCCAAAAAACAAAACCCTTTTCTTTGCCAACCCCCCCCAAGATCCGACGAACTAACAAGATTTCTGTTCACAAGCAGACAACGACCACGTACCAACGACTAACCAAACCATTGCCTTGGAAAGTATCTGCAACAACGACAACGAGGTCTTGTCCTCGACATCTGAACACCTTCAACATGCAAAGTACTAAAACAGTGAGGAGCCATGCCATAAACCCACTTGCTTGTAGTGAGTAAGGTTCTTGTCGTAAGAGCTCGGGGCGTAAGGAAAACACTGCAGTGCGCAAGGTTGCGTAAGCTTTTTGCGCCGCGTAAGCTTTTTTGTGTCTTTGTCGTTTTGCAGTTCGCATTTGATGTGAGGACAGATTTGGTCGAGGAGGTCTGCTGTGTTTACTAGAAACATGAACCTCACAAAAATCGAGGACAGCCACGGCGCGTTCAGCATAAGGCGCCCGTAAGCTCCGCGTAGGCAGCGCGTAAGTGTCAGGCGCGTCCGTGAGTAGTAGCCCACATGGCTCCCAAATCCAAAGCCTTTTGCCAACACTGGCCTGAAAAGATGCACTTCAGACAAGCTTCCGCTCTGCCCATATATGCCAACACAAAAACAGGTCCATAGAGGAGAAACTCTTGGATTCTTGGCGGTGTCCATGAGGCTTGGTAGTGCGCTGTTGTGATTGTGTCTAGTCTGTGGCACACCGTGTGGCCAAATGACGTTTGTGATGTCGCTGCGCCATGCCGTTTTGCGCGGCTCGGTAGTAGTAACTCTTGAAGCCCTACCGTTGTACAAAGCGCGTCGTGTAAGCATGTTCCCAGCGAATTCGCAAAAAAATTGCGAAGTCTGGCTGCGTAAGGGCGGCGTAAGCATCCACTTCCCCCCACATGCCGCGTAAGAAAACCTGTGGAGTGCGTAAGAAAAACCTATGTGTTGCGTAAGCACCCTCTTACGACATAGGAATCTATCAAGGTTTCCAGCACAGGTCAGTGGGTTTCAAGAACGCTAGAAAACGCACACCCATATAACGTCCTTTTCTGTTTTTTCACCAAACACTGTGGACATTATAGGCGCCGGTGTCTAATCGAGGTGTCACGCATCCGTGTCCGGCTAATTCGCTGCTGCTTAAAACACAATTGCATTTCGACTGCGCAGGCTCGCAAAATCTGGTTGGCCGGAGCGGGCGCTTGTCGCGACTGCGCTCTCTTTGTGGTGCCGCGCACGTTTACGGACATGATGGTGACTTTTCGTGGCAGGCGCGAGGGAAACCGTGTTTTTGGTGGTCCAAACTCGACTTGGCGCAAGGGACCGGAGCGGTTTTACTTCGAAGTGCAGATTTCATGGCAGGGGCAGCACTTTGGACATGGTGGTGATCTTCGACGCGCTCTGATTTCGTGCCATGGTGCAGCGAATTGTGACGTTTCTACACGCGGTAGGATTTCGGAAGTCGTGGCAGGTGGAGTACTTTGTGGACCTTAAAGTGTATAGATATCGTGGCAGGTGGAGCACTTTGTGGACCTCGAAGTGCAGATTTCGTGGTAGGCACAGTGCTTTGCGAACCTCGAAGCGGAGGTTTCATGGCAGGCATTGCGCTTAGCGCAGATTTCGTGGCAGGCATAATTTGTGAACCTTGAAGAGCAGGTTTCATGGCAGGCACAGCACTTTGTGAACCTTGAAGTGCAGATTTCTGGCAGGCGCAGCACTTTGTGAACCTCGCAGCGCAGCTTTCGTTGCAGGCGCAGCACTTTGTGAACGTGGAAGTGCAGATTTCGTGGCAGGCACAGCACTTTGTCACTTCGATTTGCGAAAATCGAAGTGCAGATGTCATGGCAGGCGCAGCACTCACTCACTCCCTCCACTCCACTCCACTCCACTCCACCCCACTCCACTCCACTCTACTCCACTCCATCCACGCCACGCCACGCCACGCCACGCCACGCCAGCCACGCCACCCCACCCCACCCCACCCCACCCCACCCCACTCGCTCACTCCCTCACTCACTCGCTCACTCACTCCCTCACTCACTCGCTCACTCCCTCACTCACGCACTCGCTCACTCCCTCACTCGCTCACTCACTCCCTCGCTCCCTCCCTCACTCCCTCACTCCCTCCCTCGCTCGCTCACTCGCTCACTCCCTCACTCACTCACTCACGCACTCACGCACGCACGCACGCAGGCAGGCAGGCACGCACGCACGCACGCACTCACGCACTCACGCACTCACTCACTCACTCACTCACTCACTCACTCACCACTGCCACCATCACGCTGATCTCCACCTTCATCACCACCATCACCTTTTTGGACCCTTAACGCATAGATCTCTAGACTTTCTGCTGGTACACTTCTAGACCTCACACACACACACACTTGCATCATCGCAATTGCAATAGGATTCAATTTCAGGCGACTTTACAGTGTATTTTACAGTACTTGGGAGATCTCGTGTCATGAAAACGGTGATTTGAGTCGACGAAGGAGCTGTTTCGGCGTTTTCTCAGGGGACGGTGGCGCTTCTTGTAACGACTATCATATACTGCCCTGAGTGCCTCATGGTCACGTCAAATCAGTTTGACATTGGCCTCACGATCAGGTACGTGATATCCACTGAGACCCTGCTGAAGCTGCGAGTGCTGCTGTCTCATGAGGAAAACCGCGCGCGGTATCCAGTGGCACTCCTGACCCGGGTATGGGTATGAAGGTTCTTCCTGGCCTACTGCGGTTCCGCTGATCTTCAAAACATCTCAACATGTTGAAATGATGTTTGGGTCTCCTAGTTGAAGAGGTGAAACATAATGAAGCACATTGAACCTTTTACTATCATAAATCGTATATATCATTTGTTTTGCAAGGAAATGGATGGAACGTGCAAGATGCAAGAACATGTTGAAGAATAGATTGAAACGGTCCCATGTTATTGCGCCCCAGTTTGAACAGATGACATTGGTTGAGCAGGGGATGGCATATTCCGAAGGCTTGACATGATCATGATTGTCCACACGTGACACATAACATGCCTGTCAAGACACGTATGCAAGAACATATGACCGTGCCACCATTTGTTGAACTGTCATATCAGGTGGCAGGACTACTGACGACACCATTGTACATGTTTTTAAATCATTTTTTTACCAAGTCCCAGAGGTTCATTTTTTGAAATGTGAAAGGTTAACAATGTTAAAAAGGACTTAAAGGAACACATTGTTTACCAAGGCCACGTTTTAACAATGTGTGTTTTTTGCAATGTTCTTTAAACTGCTCCTTCCAAAGGGCCGCAGCTTGCCCAGTGCCACAGCTTGCCGGCCGTTTTTTCGACACGAGGAGTTGCTGGCTGATAGTTTGTTGACGGAGTTCCATCAGGGCCACTGCATTTTTGTGAGCCATCAGTGGCTCTCAGGTGCGCCGAAACCCGGTCAAAGGGCGGTGCCAGAAGACGTGGAGATGAAACAGAAAACCATGGGAGGCATCCAACTTCATAATTTTTCAACAATTGTGCTGTGGCCCCAATGACGCCCCTACTAAGAAAAAACAAACATAGGAACCTGAACGTCTAAGAAGGTGATGATTTTTCCCCTTTGCGCGCGGTCAGCTCTGCTGCACGCGGGGCGGAGGTCAACATCCAGATCCATCCGGTGTACAATTCAAGGTTCTTCAAGATGCTTTGCGCAACATTTTGTCAGGCAGGAAGTCGCTGAAGCCGTCTGAGATTTCTTTAACAATATATGTGTTTCCATCTCCGGATGCTCCCGACCGGGTTTTATGTCTTCGGATCGCGATCGCTGGTTTTCTTCGCGTGTGGATGGCCTTGGTCGATTTGGGTCGCGATCCTGGATTGCTTCGAAGTAAGAACTGGTATGGCTTCGAAGTAAGAACCGAAACCGCTGCAGCTTCACCGGCAGATAAGCAGTGCTCAAGAAAGCTCAACACTGGGGCCGGCAGGTCAGCACTGTCCTCAACATCACTACTAGATACTTTCAATCTGCCCTATTACCATCTATTACCTGTAACAGTCAGTAAACACTGATCACAATTTTGAAGAAAGGCCTTTACTAACCATCATCATCCACTGTTACAGGTCATAGGATAGACCCACTAGATACTACTAGTGCTTTATGGGGTTGGTTCATGGACACCCCAAGTCACCGTCGATCCATCGGGTGAGAAGCACCGATCGAGAGAGTTTGAGAATCCATCGGTGCTTTGACCCATCGGCGTGGTTGGTCACTTAAGGGTGTCCTCACAGTCAGAGCCTCAATTGGAAACTCACAGCAAGACCATAGCTATATTGATCGATCATGGTCAAGAAAGAAACTCCAGGATTTTCATGCTATGGTGGTCCTTCGGATAAGGGGTGCGGTCAAAACTCGGCCTATTACTCGGCCTATTGAATACTTTTCAGCTGTTCATGTGTTTTAGCACCCCGAGCCCAGCCATGCATTGGTTTTACATTCCGCCGAGTTCGTTGTGCATAGACCCACGCACCTGCATTCGCGCAGCCACAGCCGCTGCAGGTTCCAGCCAGATCTCTGTGGACGTGAGCACGGAGCTCATGTTCGGACGTCCCCAGACCGACTACGCGAAAGAGATGCGGATGAAGCCCTTGTATGTGCCTCGGCGCTGGGTGCTGTCCGGTATGACCCACCGGCAGAAGACATCCAGCACGACTCTTCAGAGCTTCGACGTCTTTGTCACGACTCTTCCAATTACTGAGGAGATAAGTTTGGTATAGGTATTGCTAGTGACCACATGCTGGAAAATGGCACGGATGAGTCTCTACACTCTACACATCATGTTGGATGCGACCACCATGGCCCTACAAGATTCCATTCCCAAAGCATTCCTTGTTGTTTCGCTGTATCAAATTATATCCCAAAGCACTTCTCCTTTGGAACAACTATGATATGAGAAAGAAGCATAAGTATCATCATGATATATTATGAAATCATAACGCATCTATAATTGGCTAGGAAAAGAGTTTGCTACAACCTTGGCCTGCCTTCAAAACCCGCGGGTTTGTCGTGTGGAAAAAAACACCTGAAATGATTGGATTCTCCAGCGCGAAACAGGGTGACCAAATCAAAGCTGCTTGCTGAAGGCTTTCACTTGGTATGGTCCATGTTGAGATTTGGCAGCTTTTCCAGGCAAATCGAAACCACGTTTTGTCGAAGCTTCCAAAGGCAACTCTCCCGAGTTCAGACAGGTTGGTATGTTGCGGTATGTTGTGGTAGTGGTGCAGTATGACTGGTTTTGCCTGGTAGGTGAGAGCTTGCTGTGCGAGTGATTTGGTCATGTCAGTGTTGTGTAATCGTATTGTGTTTCAGCAGAATGAACGCTGAAACGTGGAACCCCCACGCCGCGGTTCGATCAGTTCGCAGTTTTTGACGAAAGATCGTCAGCGGGATCAACCAATCAGTGTTGAAGATGGTTTGTGAAGTGTAAGGGTTTCGAGCACAGTTCAGATTGATATAATCTAAAACAATTACTCAAGTTGCAGCATAATTGCAGCCAACCCGTGATTAGATGCCCTAGGATGTTTGCGACATCCTGGAATTGAATCGGGTTGTCCATCAAGATTTGACATGATCCAAATGGAGCATGTTTTTCTTTTTTGGTTTTGTCAGACAGCATGGTGCTTTGCTTGCTCATTGAACAAATCGTCCAATCCTCGGATGATTTGTATGCTTGCCCCGGAACTTTGAAGCATTTAAGATCTTTTTATATAGATTATGCTGGAGTATTGTCTTATATTAGCTAATTAGATAATTAAATATATTGACTTTTAGTTAATTGGAGTTAGTCCAATATACTGGAGTATTTTCAAAGTGGACTCATATTGAACTCATTCCAAAAGCTGAGCTGAAAAGAGAGAAGAGACCGTCGAGACGGTGGAGGTGAGACGACCGCCGAACTGGCCGTCCGTCCGTTCGTCCGACGGGTGACGTTCGCCGAAGACCAAACTCTACCCGTTTGGGGTCATAGGTCATGAGTGTAACAGTTGGTGCTTGTGACCCTGCTCCCCAAGCCTGAAGCAGATGAATCTTAGCTTCTCCCCAATCCTGAAGCTTGCTCTCTCAGGTTTGGTACGATTATTTCTGCGTGCCTCAAAAAGCTCGTAATGACGTCGACCGATCATTGGCCATCAGCCTAATCCCCGAGTATGTGGCAAGGCGCGTGGATCTCGTGACTCGAACCCCCCGGGCTGGGCTGATGGGGCTGATGGCGGATGGGGGTTACCAAAAGGAGCCCATGAAATTCGATCTCCAAGTTTGGTGGTTAGGCCCGATTGGTGAGTGTGGCCTTCGAGATGAGGCTTCTGTGATGAGATGAGGTGTTTGCGTGTTTGGAGCGTATCTACAGCCAGGATAGCAAGGATTCGGACAGAGCAGGATCCACACTAAGTAACTGAGCTTGATGTTTTGTGGTCTATCTAAACTCTACATGTGGTCAGTCCCATGTTCCCTCGCTAGCTGGCTTTTTCCTGGCATTGCCCAGCTTGCAGCCGGGTCCAACAAGGCTGGGTGCTTTTCAGTGCCCCAACTTCAAAAAGTGGACATGCTTTTCAGCCACGGTACCTGGCGAGTTCTAACAGTTATATACTTGATACTTGGGAAATGTTTTGGCGCCCCGATGCATTTCAGCAAATCAAAGGTAAAATCTGTCAGAGCACATTCCAGAACAGAAATCAGAACAAGCGTCCGAAGAGTTGTCAGACGAATGTCAGAACAGATGTCAGGATACCATAAGACATGCCAGAACATATGTCAGAGCAAGTGTCGGAAAGTTTGATGGCAGAACACGTGCCAGAATACATGACAGGACAAATGTCAGAACACATATCAGAACCGAAGTCCGACCATATGTCGCAACACGCTTCAGAGCACGTGCAAGTAAGTGTTGATGCGAGATCGCACGTCAGACTTCACGGCAGGACTGATTGAAGAACACATGCCAAACAGGGCATCAGGGACTGATTGAAGAACACATGCCAAACAGGGCATCAGAGACCATGTCAGACTTGATGCCAGAACAAGTGTTATCAGAACATTGTGTCAATGCACGTGTCAGGCAGCATTTGCCAGGATAGTCGGTCGATACATGTGCCCTGCCTTATTCCAAATCGCCTGTTAGGGTGGGATCACTGGTAAGTACAGTACTTATATATATAGTCTAGTTCTTTTTTTCTGCAGGTCCCCCTTCGATTTGCACAAGAGATTGAAATAGTGGTCACCCACCGTCACATCTGGTCGCCCACGTCGTCGAAGCAGAGGACGGACGCTTACACTTCCATGTGAGGTGGAAGTGTCGCGACGCCACGTGAGCTGCGGAGGTTGGATGAGGTTAACTGAGGTTTTAGAATCAGAACATCATTCGCCACGGTCAGGTGCAAGTTCTTTGTGGTGCTGGCACCTCCACTGAGACACACTGAACCTCGGCCTGCACGCCGACCATGGGTCACGTCCCGGCCGTTCGGAACTGCGGTACCTCCTGCAAATCTGAATGGCTTACGATCCTGCAAAAAACCTAACAAAAACACATTACATTGTTTACTGTTCTAGGTCAGAAAACCAGCCGCAGTGTACTGTGCAAACATGTTCTTTGCTATACAGTATACACGAAAACCATCGAAAACCATCAATCACCTTGAGAACACCTCCATGGCTGGGGATTGTGTGCTGTTTGCCCTCCAGCTCCTCCAGATTTGTGAAAAAAACGAAGGAAATCTTGACGCACTTCTGGGCTTAAAGGGTCTCCTAGTGGGTCTCCTTTTCGGGACCCGGTAAAATTCGGCACCGCATTCACCCATGTTCACCCGGTGGCCAAGGAACACTTCGAAGTCATGAGCAGGTATTCATGGTGCAAGCGCGGCTGGTGCCGGACCGGTCACCTGCGTTCCGCAAAGCAGCGCGTGCGTGGTGTCGAAGAATGGTGCATGGTGAAATTGACGATGCATGGTGCACATACATACATACATACATACATACATACATACATACATACATAC